CCCGTGGGGGTCGCGGGGGGTGGATGCAGCGAGCGGCTGGTACCAAGACCGAGCGCGGCCGACAGAAGGACGGAGCTCCCCCGTTGGGGCGCTATTCCGAGCCCGCCTAGAAGATTTCCCTGTGGGAAGTCAAGTGCAGTCGCGACCAGTCTCTGCATCAGGATTAGCAGCAGCCCGGGGAGTCGATACGCCAAGGGCTCGTCGCGGACGTGTCTCGGGGCCGTCGATAGTGACCGCGCCGCGAGGAGAGAGGGTTGTGGTTGGGGGCTGGGGGGTTGCGCTGCGCTGCGGGCTGCGTCGTCTGCTACTGCAGAGGGGGCCGCGAATGTGGGTCACTTTTAATTCCTTGCTGTGCGAGCCTGCCGCGGGGGCTTTGGGGAAGAGCTCCGCCGCCTTGGCTTTGGCGGGCGTGAGTTGAAGGCCGCGGTGACGTACCGGGCCGACCCGAAAGCAAACGCAGCCAACCGCAGTCCGTCGCTGCTCGACGCAGAGAGGTGTCGTTACATAACCTGCAGCCCGCCTGGACTTTGTCTTATCATTTTAAGCGTCGCGAGACCTCCGCGCCCAGTGTCAGGACGGCACTGTGTCGTCGGAGCATTCCTAGACTGTCGCTGTTCACGTAGGTACCTATTGATCTTTTTGCCCCATGTCCATCGTCATTTTATTCCAATGATAATGAGGTAATTGCACTCCAGTTAATTTGGTAAATGCTGATGTCTGTGCTGTTATTTTCTTTTGCAGCTGAGTTTCTACAGCCATGGCTGTTCAAATATTTGATGACAGCCATTTGGCCATCTGTGCTATAATCACAGTGGCAATGCAGCTCATTTTCTTCACCATTGCTGCAACTTTTCAGTTTGATAAAGTTACAGACTTTGCTGGTGGTGTGAACTTCATCATCCTTGCAGTTGTCACATTGTGTCTTGGACAGGCAAGTGACCTCTTTATTCACAGTATTTATCGGCAGTTTTTTTTTTAAACTTAAAACTAAGTATGTTTTCTACTTATTTTTCAGACTTATGACAGTCGACAGGTTATGGTCACGTTTTATATATGCTTGTGGGGAGCACGTCTTTCAGGTTACTTACTTTATCGAATCATAATCATAGGACGAGATAAAAGGTTTGATGACAGGCGCAGTAACATTATCCGTTTTGCAGTATTTTGGACCTTTCAGGTGAGTTGATAATCATACTTTGAATTGTTTGTTTTGATAATCATTTCAACTTCCACAACTTTAAATAATTTTTTTTGTTTTTCTCAGGCAATTTGGGTGTTTGTTGTCAGCTTGCCAGTTATTTTCATAAACGCCCCTCACAATGCTATCCCCAAAACCGCCAAGACTATGACTCAACTGGATTCGGCAGGGTCAGGTCTGTTTATTATTGGTCTTTTGACAGAGACATTTTCAGATCTCCAGAAATTCCAATTCCGTCAGGATCCTGCCAATAAGGGGAAATGGTGCAATGATGGTAAGTATTTTGATTTTTAGTTTTCTTGCAAACATGAAATTGTTCCCTACCTTCTTACATAACATGTAATCCTCGTTCTTTCTTTCTTTTCAGGATTGTGGGCATGGTCACGTCACCCTAACTACTTTGGAGAAATTGTTCTGTGGTGGGGAATTTTCATAATTTCCATAAATTGCATAAAAGGTGCTGAATGGGTGGCAGTCCTGTCCCCTATTTTCACATCCCTGATTTTGCTGTTCCTGTCTGGTATTCCACTCCTGGAAAGATCATCAGATGAAAAGTTCAGAGAGTAAGTTTTAATATCAAATATTGTCCTTTTTAGTTTTGGTCATAACTTTGCAATTTAGAATTTCGCATTTGTTGTGTTGGTCTCATTCATGGCTTTCCTTTTTTGTTTCAGTAATCCAGAGTACCGGTACTATAAGAAGTCTACCTCTCCCCTTATACCAATGCCACCAGCTTTCTATGTCGAGGTTCCAAGATTTTTAAAGTTCATAGTTTGCTGCGAATTTCCCCTTTACAATTCGCTGCATCCCAAAGAACCAGTACCTGGAGCTAACATTGGTACTATTGGAGGCACCATCGGGACCATTGGAAGCAGCAAGGGAGCTACGGAGATGTAGCTAATAGCCAAAGTCAGTTCAGGTGACAGCAGAGGAGAGAAAGCGCATGCTGTTTAATTCCCTCTTTGAACTGGCTTTTAAAACTAAAATTTTCAAATGTAGTTGAAATGACAACACATTTGTCTTACCTTTGTCTTATGTCCATTTTGAACCAATTGGTGAAATCAAGTTGAACACGCGTTCAATTGATTTTGATTTGGTGTAAAGTTTTGTATGCAAACTGTCACACGACTTTGTGCAGTACTGTTGCTTTTAACAATTCATCTCTAAAATTAACATCTTATTTGCTCAAAAAGCCATCTTGCTAAATTTTTCAATGGAATTTGAATTAATTCCATTCAGGAATTGCAAGCCTTACACAAACAGTGGTGAAAAGTATTCCAGTGCCATTTAATTGTTTGTGATGAACAAGACCAATATATCAGTATCTCTGCATTAAGTACTGTGAGTATGCTTTGTATTTAAACAAAGTACGATTTGGCCCCACACGGTATAAACACTTCCTTGATGTTCAAGGACCAAGACACTGATTCAAGGACGCCCCATGTGTTTTTCCCTACCCCCTAGGTCCTTGGATACCAAGGAGCTGTTTTTACCGTTCAGTTATAAAACATCACAAAGGAAAGAACTTCTCAAATGTTAATGTATGTGCTCCCTAGATGTGCCAGGTCTATCTTTTCTGGCTGTCCAAAAATATACACTGTCTTGGTCAGGATTGTCATGTATATCATATTTAATAATATGTAAATAATTGATTTGTTTCATTAAGCTCATCATGTTCATTATTGGTCACAATTATTTTCTTATTCATAATAGGTAGATGTACAATAGCAATTCTCATGGCACAAGTTAAATGCTCAGGCATTATTAGCAGTAGTCTAAAAACATCAAATTTATATTTTTGTGAATTTTGATCTCATGCACTCTTGCACAAGACATGTAAATTCATGTTACTTTTTACAACATGTAATGTAATAATGCATTGTTATTGTTTTATGGGATGTGTTTTGTTTCATTTGTATGGTGACATTATTCTTGCATCTCTTTCTGTGTTCATTTTATTTGACTTGTAAAAGGTGAAAAATGAAGTACTATTAATTGCATTTAAAAATACTGTGATTGTTCTGATTTGCTGCATCAACAATTGATGTAATGGGTGACTTCCTCCTTGTATCTTCCCATGTCAGATTACCTTTGCGTTGTGAATCTAATGCTAAAACATCAGCCTCTGTGTTATTCATTTCAACTTCATAAAATTTCTGGTTTTGTAACATTTTAGTTATGAATTGGATGAACACAATGAGAAGAATTACTAAGCCAAAGTAGGAATTTTTTTGCACATTCAACGTTCTGTCGGGCATCATTTGGTACTTGACCCAGTGGTAGTTGAACTTTGTTTGTACGCATATAACATACATTTTAGATCAAAAATTATCTTGCCATATCAATCCCTGAATTTCTTTAAAATGATGTGTAATGTAATGCAAGATCAATTAACAATGAAAGACACTAGTAAAATCAAATACATAGACTAATTTTACTTTATCGTTCTTCCAAATTTTTCTCATAGCTAGCTCTAGTCCTAATTTCAAATTTCGATGAACATAAAATGGTTTTACCAGGTATTAGTTATAGCGCTAGTAAAATTCTAAATGAGAATTTATTACATAGCACAAAGTCTGGTCCTTTAGGCAGTGTAGCATTTAGTAATATCAAGGGGCTACTTTTGTTTAGTCTACATTTTCCATATTCCATAATATTGTAATAGCCATTAGCAACAATGTAGTTTGAATACAAAAGAACAAAGTGAATCCAATTTTCCATAAGAACTAACTAACTATTCAATGGCAAAAGACATGCTGAAGACTTGATTGAAAATGTGTTGTGCTATCAGAGACGATACAAAAATAAAGGGGACACATGTGCATGTTCTAAAGTAGTTATGACAATGGCATTGTGCTGTTGTCAAGTCAAAAATTTTGCTTCAAACTGGTTACTTATATGTTGATGTTCATGATGTTTCTGATATCATTGGTATAATATTTACTGTCTTCAACTCAAATACTGTAGCAGAAAATTTGTTTTTAAAATTAATTAGTAGTTGCTAGAGGTTACCAAAACTGAAAGTTGATTTCTTGTGTTGGATTTTGGCTCATTACTTTGTTGCGAATGTGCCTTGTTGTTGGATATGAAATGAAGTTAAGTTTGCAAAATATCTGTTCATATATATTGAGAGGTGTGGGACCAATGTGTTTGTGGCGGTAAATATATCTAAATTTTCAGTGCAAGCTTTTTATTTGCTTTGCTTTGACTAACACAGCTACTTTATTGTATCAAATCTGCTTATTCTCTTCATGTTTTCCAAATTTTGGGGGATTATTGTATGACTTCTTTGAGCGTAATGCTAAACTTCTGATAAATATGTTTCGGATTACTAATAGGATGGAATCTTGATTCTAATCTTTTTCCAAACGTCTTATTACTACCAATGCACATTTTAATTTCCTGTACTATTGAAGCGATCTTAGTTTCATTATTTGACATTGTTTAGAGTTCTTTCAAATTCTGTAAACTAAGGATAAATACCCTCTAAATATGGTTACAAATTAGATAGGATGAAAATGAAGTAGGGTATTCAGAAATTGTGTTGCAACATGTGATGATTTCGTGAGATGATCAATAACTATTCAAATATGTAAGGCTGTGTGTGATATCTTACTGGCTGGATTTGAAATGTGAATGAATTACCTATGCACCCAGTATTAGAAGTGTTTTTCTCAATCTGTTGTGAGATAGCCCTGTTTGTATATGTATGATACAAATTAGTTATCAGTAGAAGAGAAAAGCAGTGCAGTGAGAAGGCAACTGTGTGCTGGCGCACAGTGTCCTTCAACCCTAAACGTCCGATATTTTGTTTCTCCAGCCATTGTTTCCGTTTTCACGGGTTGTGATATTTTAAAGCCTCAAGACAGAAGTAGGCCCTATGTTAATTGTTAAATGGGCTGTTTGTTGTGAAGAGGGGTACAGCTGATATTCATTTTCAAATTGTTTAAAAGCAATTTTTAAATCAGACTAACACAGTACTATCCACCTATCTAGTTTTAACGCTGTAATTAATTCAGCCAGCAACCTAATTTTATTTTAGGGTATTGTTTGTGCAAGTTTAAGTACCAAGCATGTTGTCTTTCTTTACTTACACACCTTCATGAAAGTATTACTGGAGTTAAGAAATAAACTGGTTTGAACATTGTATACTTGTGTTATGTTGGTCTCTTCTCTTGACAAATTTTTGATCTTGTACAGTTGTACATATTGAAACACTTTCTTTTCATAAACATCATTTATTCAGAATACAAACTAATTGAAGATTAATTTGTCACCCTTAACATTGCAAGATACCTACCTACATTACTTTGGGAGAAAAATGCATGCAATTTATGGCATTTTAATCCCAAGTGACTTAAAACAATGGCACCTTTAAGAATTTTAGTGACTCAAACTGTACTTTGGCATTCAAATTTTACACTGCACCACAATGTAAAAAGTCATTTTCTCATCAAAATAAAGCAACACGCAAGCATGCAAACTACAGTACAATAAAAGGCCAAATAGCAGTCCTTCTGGACATAGTCATAAACCTAAACCACTCAGAAAAATACTGTTACAGGATTAATAAATTACTGAAAACCTATCTATACACATAAAAGATAAAATACTATTAACAGATTGTTCCCTGCTAAATAAATTTCATATATAGAGAAATGTGAAATCAATATTCACAAATTACAGAGATCAAGAATAAGAACTGAATTATGTTTAAAATATAAAACTAATAACACAGCCATCAAGTTCAATATTAGCACCTAAGGAATTAATTGAGCAGCTATGCCACAATTCAAGTTGACAAGCAATCCAACACAAATGTAGCACAACAAAATTTACATTTGTAGATACAATACAACAGGGAATCATTACAGGGATTGGGTCAGCTCACTCGTTTCTTCTTCTGGCACCTGAATAGATTTCCATTTTGGAACATTTGTTCAAATACCACACATACAATGAACTATGCTTGACCAGCAGGCACAGTTCTTCGTAACTTAAAGGTACCACCTCTGATTTCTTGCATAAGGCGGTCTACAAGGCATGGTTCATCCGCCTCCAAAACAGTCTTTCCTCTGGGTTTCCGCTTAACTACACCTTTTGAGTCTTTTTTCCCCTCCGGTCCTGTTGCTGCTTCTAGGGCCTGCTTTGCCTCCTCTGCTTTCTTCCGGGCAGCAGCTCTTTCTTCTTGCTTCTTTCTTTGTTCATTTTCCTGTAAAAACAATTTTAATGTGATTTTCTATTGTTTTGATTGTGTACTTGAATCCTATGAAACTCCTAGCACGATACATACCACACGAACTTGGTCAACTTTGTCAAAGAAATCGGCAAACAACTTAAAACACTCTTGGAGCTGAAATCTAGATGCTGCGCTTCCATTAAGATCTTCACAAAAATGTGAAGCAAGCCGCTGCGCTGCTTTTTTGGCCTCAGACATGCATATTTGTAAATCTTTAACTGTTGACATTGCTTCACTGACAAAGTCTGTAAAGAGATATTCAATATAAGTTTTATTACTTATTTCCTATAGAAAAATGTACTCATTAATAACGTAGCTTCTAAATCTACTTGCCTGAAAATTGTTTTTGGACATCTTTTTCAGCTCCCTTAAGCATACTATTTAGTTTATTAATTTTGTTAGCTAGAGCTTGCACCTCTTCTTCTAGAGCCTCCATGGATATTCTACAAATATAGAAAAAAAGGTATTATTACAATATTTTTTTTTCCAGAAATTCTAGACTATAGCAAAATCTGACCCAACTTACCTAGCTGCGGAGCGCATCTGCTTCATCTCAGTGGTGAATTTCAAGATATCTTTGTTTTGTTCTTCAGCTACTTCAACAACATAATGAAGACATGTGAAACGGGGTTTGTTTGTCCTCATATCCAATAGCTTTGGCAGTGTGTTGAGTTTAAATCCTGCAGCACTACCAGCATAACTACCAGCATTCAAGTAATTTCCAAACTGGAGAATGAGTGCCAGAAATTCTTTAAGTGATGCATTATTGATGACTTGATCACATATATTAATAACTGTTTGTAACTGAGGCTTTAGCTCCGCCACTGTTGTGGGAAGCTGCTCTTTCTGGTGCAACAAAAATAAGCAATCAAATAAAACAGTGCACATGCAAAATAAAGACACAAATAAAAGCGATGTAATTAAAAATATAATTTACCTGCAGCAAAGCTTCAATTCTTACAGGGTAAGATGGAACATTTGCCAAGTTTGAGAAAAATTGTTCAGCAGATCCCAGAGGCCCTCCATCCTTAGGATGACTCTTAATCAGCTCCAACTATAAAGCAGAATTACTTGATTGGGCATATGTTGCACATATCAGAAATAAAATAAAGAAGAAATTATAAAGTGGCTTACTTCAGTTTTGTCTGGGAGAAGTCTTTGTAAGCCTTGCAGCCTTTCAGCTCCAAGTTTGGCAGAGTCACCACATTTAATAGCATCTATGATTTCAGAAGACGCAGAGCGGAACTGTTTTAAAAATATGTTAACTGCCAAACTTCGCTTTGAATCCAACAGATTCACCAACGTAGGGTGTGAGGCACTGGCTGTGACATTGGCCTTCTTTCCAGCTTTAGACTCAGCTGGTGCTGCTTGCTTTTGACAAAATAGTTCCTCTATTTGATGGAAGTCCATATGTACTCTGGGCTCAACATTGGGTAGTTCAGACCACACACTCTCTCTCCCTGGAAGGTAAACAAAATGTGTAAGTCACTGAGCGAAACTCACAAGAGTTTTCACACAATTCCATGAATCAAAGAATAAACTCACCAATAACTTGGTTGGGAATTTTCGTCCAGTTGAGGGTTTTTAGCTTCCGCCTGGGATGAGGGAATGTGTTGTATTTCGCAGCCCCGCTGGGGTTCCAAGCGCCGTCAGGCACGTCGCCGTTCAAGGAGCGTCGAGCCGGGTAGGTGAGGTATTGGGTCTTGGCGACGCACAGGGGCTCCTCTACCGGCACCATCCCAGGCATGCCGGGGGGTGGGGGCGGCATAGGGGCTCCAGGGACGGG